GTACTTGTCCTCATTTGTCAATTGATGTCTCTGGTTCCCTGTTTACAATCTTGTAGGCTTATTTACTTTGGATACTCTGATGGCTGGCTTGGTTTCTGGGTTATATCATCATGTGTGTTAATGGTCAGTTGTTGTTGGCTGTTGTTGCTTCTCTGTCCAAAGGGCTCCCTTTAGTATCTCTTGTAAGGTTGGTCTGGTATTCACAGATTCCTTAACTTCTGCTTATCTGGAAATGCCCTAATTTTACCATCGTATTTGAGGGACAATTTTGCTGGGTACCTACTTCTTGGTTGGAAATTTTTCTCTTTCAGGGTTTTATATATACCATCCCATTGTCTTCTCGCCTTCATGGTTTCTGTTGAGAAATCCAGCCTTAGTCTTATTGGTTGCCACTTGTAGGTAACTTTTCGTTTTTCCCATGCTGCTCTCATGATTCTTTTTTTGTCTTTGGTTTTGATATGATATGTCTGGGTGATTTTCTTTTGGGGTCTATCCTGTTTGGAGTTCGTTGGATTTCCTGAATGGATATATTCTCGTCTTTCATCCTACCAGGAAAATTCTCTTCCAATGCTCCCTTTCCAAAGAAGTATTCGGGTATTTGCCTTCCATCTCCCTAATTCTGTCTTCCATTAATTCAATTCTGCTCCTTTGCTCATTCAATGCCTTATCTATTTCTGAAAATTTAGTATTAATCTTTTGGATTTCTCTGTGTAGATTTTGTATCATTTCTAACTTTTCATTTATTTTGTCATTTTGTTCTCATATTGTCTTTCAAAATTGTTCTAGGGTTTTCTCTGTGTTTTCCTTGATCTGTCTCTCAATTCATTGAAGATACCTAAATATAATTCTTTTGAATTCCTTATCAGGGAATTTCAATGCTGCATCTTTCTCGGGGACGTGTTCTGGGTCTGTATCCTGGTCCCTTGTTTCTCCTGCTTTATCTTGCTTTTTTGTGTGGACTGTGATGCTCTGTTGTCTCTAAGGCATTGTGACTTTTTGTGTTTATTTAATTGGTGATTGTACGTTGGAGTGACTTGCTCACTATTTTTGTTTTCTTTATATGTTATCTACGCAAGCAGGGTACTGTGCTCCTCTACTTGATAGTTGACAGCACTTATACACTCACCACCTGTCTCCTTTCCTGTTGTCAGCCTCTCATATGTCCCTGCCGACCTTGGCAAACAGAGCCTATTCTTAGGTCCCTGGAATCCAAATGAGATTGCTATCACTCTGAAGTCCAAAATGGTTGCCACTTGTATAGATTCAAAATGGCTGTGCCCTTAGTCACTGTAAATATCCAAAATGGCTGCTGCTTGTAAATATTCAAAACGCGAGCACCCTCAGTCACTTTAAATCCAAAATATCCAAAATGGCTACACCCTCCGGACAGCAGAAAGTCAACAGCTCAGGTTGTCTCCCTCCGTGCTATTTCTCTTCCTAGTCATAGGCTACCAGTGCAGTTCTCCCTGCACCCCTTGGTGTCCAGGGCTGATGTTTAGGTCAATTCCCAGGTCCTGATATCACTTGAAAATATTCAGGCTGTTGGTTCCATCAGAGTAGCTAACAGTCCACAGCTCCAACCATCTCTGTATTCACTGTTTTCATTCAGGTTTTTCCACTAGTTGGTGCTTAATCCACTTCTGGATAATTCCTTTCAAAGCTCAGGGCTCCAGGATTATCTTCTGTATCTCTGTCAATTGTTTTTCTTTTCTTTATTGAAGACAGTCTGTGTCACTTGTCTGCCTATTCCTCCCCCTTACCAGAAGTCCTCTGAGAATTTTTAGAAGGTCTCAGTTTATCTAGTCTATCATCCGTCTTTTTACACATTTTTGGCTATGTTTGATGCCATGCCATGAATTATGGCCCCTAAGTTTGCCCCTATTTTTATTTTGATGATCTTTATAGTTTTTAGGTTTTACATTTAGGCCTTTGATCCATCTTGAGTTAAGATCCAGTTTTGGATACACCATTTATCAAAGAGATTATCTTTTCCCCATTTAATAGATGGCTCTTGGTCAAAGATCAGTTGTCCATAGGCTCTATTTCTGGGTTCTAATTCTGTTTCATTAGTCTATGTGTCACCATAACAATACTAGGCTGTTTTGACTACTGTAGCTATATAGTAGGTTTGAGATCAAGGAATGTGAGACCTCCTAACTTTGTTCTTCTTCAGTAGAGTTTTGCTTATCCAAGGTCGCTTTCCCTTCTACCTAAAATTAGTGATTGGTTTTTCCATGTCCTTAAAGAACGTTGATGGAATCTGGATCAATATCATATTTTACCTATAGATTATTAGGGTAATACTAACATTTTCACAATTTTCAGTTTTCCTATCCTATCCATGAACATAGTATATTCTTCATTTCTAATTTTATTGCAGTGTGGTAAAAACAAATTTCTCCTTTTTGGAATTTATTGCATTTAATGAATCAACAGTGTTCCTGCCATCTACACACCCACGTTGGTGTGGGAAATGTTTTTTACCCACACTTGGTGAGATGAGAAAAGAAGGAGCTCTGGTGATATAGTAACTAAAGGCATTTGATTGATAACCAGAAGGTTGGCAGTTCAAACCCACGAGCCACTCCATGGAAGGAAGTTGGGGCAATCTACTTCTGTAAAGGTATACCACCTTAGAAACTCAGTGTCATTATGACAACTCAAAGGGTCACTATGAGTCGGAATCGACTTGATGGCAGTGGGTTTTTTTTTAAACTTTAATTTGTAATGTTATATGTATTAAGTAAGCTATAATTCACCTATGGTTTTAGTTCTAATTCAGAGGCAGGAACGAGGGTGATATGCTATGTTCCAGCCAGACCATTTGGGTTTTGAAATCTATCTCAGGCACTTATTAGACGTGTGACCCTGGGCAAGTAATCTTGCATCTTTGTGCCTCAATTTCTTTAGATGTTCAACAGGAATAACAATAGTATTTACCTTAACTTATAATACACACAATGAGTCTTACACCTAGTAAAGGGCTCAATAAATGCCACGTTTTTAAATAATCAGAGACTGCACCAACTCCTTACTTATCAACTATCTCATTAACTGACACTTTTCATTTATGACAATAGTGAAAAATCTACTGCCCAACTATTTTATGCATTAACGTAATGATGTACATTTGGCAGTAACAAAGGCCAAGGTGTGAGGTGACCGTAAACACTGGCTGTGATGATTATGTGTCAACTTGGCTGGATCATGGTTCTCAGTGATTTGGCAGGTACGTAATGATGTAATTTGGCAGTTACATAATTGTGATCTGATGTGGTCATCCTCCATTTTTGTATAACACCAATTTTTGCATAACTTGCTCTTTGGAACCAGCCATGTTGGTATGAGAGTGTATTTCACAAAGCAGAAGAGAGAGAACTGAGAATCCTTTTGGGTATTACTTATTTTAGAAGTTTCACTAATTCAGAAGCTATTTCCTATTTTAGGCATCCCACAGTCTTGGAATCATTTACCTGTGATATAATCAAGTCTTGCATATGCCCTAGAGACACACAAAGAGAATGGGACTTCATGCAGAATCCTAATGATTACTCTTATAATTTTAATCAAAGTTCTGTATTTCTTTACTAATACAAAAAAGAGGCATGCTTTAGGGAGCAGAAGACCTGTTCAACAGACTGACCAGTTACCTCTAGTAGGAACCACAGTCTCCCTGTGATATGCAGGTCTCTGCTTGCTGCAGGGAAGTCAAGCCACCTTCAATGCAACAGACCTCCTGTGCTATCGTGTCCTTACCAGTCTGGAAATAGTTTTGAGTCTCATCTAAAAGATCTAGCTTATCTGTTTTTCAACTCCTATGAGACCTGGCAGGACCTCAAAAGTCAGAGCAAATGATGCCAGCATCTTACCCTACTTCCAGAGTTTGAGGACTGATAGCCTCCACTCTTATGCAATACTGCATGGCACTTTCCAACCTATAAGTCTAAAAACCCATTTATTCCCTGGCATAGTACAAGTAGTCTTTTATTTATTCTATGAAAAAAAAATCTCCTGAAGCCAGTGTGAATATTCAGAGAAACTGTCTCTCAGTGGTGGGATGAGGAGTAGATTTTTACAGTCTACTTTTGAGTCAAATTGTGGGGCCCAGTGGAAGTTACGTGGTGGTGGCTTCTAAATCTAATCACTTCTGAGTGATAGAGAGCAGATTAGGCACAGAGAAGCAGCAGGCACAGGGGGAAGACAGACACTATCTGACCAGAGGCAGGTGCATCTACAAGCCCAGGAACTCCAAGGACTGCTGGCTACTAGAAGATGAAACAGGGAGAGAAGGACCTTCCAGCTAGATATGCCCTGAATTTGCCTCCTGAACTGTGAGAAAATGAATTGCTGTTCTTTAACATGACCTACTTCCAGAATCTGCAAAACGCTGCATAAAGTGGATGAACTTGAAGGACATTATGCTTAGTGAAATATGTCAATCGCAGAAGAACAAATATTAGTTTATTATTGTAAAAAGTCAAGGAAAGGTTTATATAAGGAAGGAAGCTTTCTTGGTTATGGGGCAGGGGGACAAACACCACAAAAAGAAAAACAAATAAATAAATAAAGTCACCTAACTTGTAGTATTTCTATCACAATAAAACTCAAAAACTCAAAACTCATTGCCATCAAATAGGTTCCGACTCAGTGTCCCCCACTGGGTTTCTGAGGTGGTAAATCTTTACAGAAGTAGATTGCCCCATCTTCTGCACAGTGGCTGATGGGTTCAAACTGCCAACTTTGTGTCAGCAGTCAAATGCCTTAGGCACTGTACCACCAATAATTACAGATGCCTCTTAACTCTGCTCTGTCCAATCCTTGCTTCAAAATAATTAAGCAGTTCCCTTCCTTTTAGTTACTCTATAAAACGGAGGAGAAATGTTCCCACTGAATGTCTGAATGGAGGCTATTCCACTTCCTATCTGATTTCCGCTAACACTGTCTAACGATAAGGTAATAAAAATAATGAGTAATTAGAACGGTAAGTGGGGGACACTCACAGCATGGCGATGCCCCAGTGCTTTCCTGCTCGCTCTCCCGCTGCTTGGAAACCCGAGAGGCCAATAAGGGCAACCGTGGGCGTGATGGTCAGCGGCCCGATGTACTTCAGCAGAGCCCCTGGCAAGCCCAGTAAGCCGATGACCACTTCTATCAAGGAGGACATGATAATGGCCCCTTGGATCTGAAACAAGAGATGGCAGAGATATGAGGGTAAGCTGCTTGTATGTCAAATGCTCCAAGTGACACCTGCAATGACAACTGATAATTCTGCAAAGCAACAAGTAATTATATTAACAGCGACAACATAGCTAGAAAATTCCCTGGAAGCCCCTAAGGAATTTCAGTGGGGTACCAAGTCTTCACCAACCAAAGTATGACATGCTGCAAAATGAGGTCTGAACACTAAACCTACTTGCCTTTTCTGCTGGTAGAAATCCAGATATAATATATAATTCCCATTTAAGAAAACATAACCTTTGAGACCCCACCAAAGAGAAACACTACAGGACAGGGATTCTTGACTTTGAAGTGTGAGTTCCTGCAGGGCACTTAACAGATGTTAAGTTATGTTACTGACAAAAATCCTAGAGGGATGTTTCTTGTAGGTTCTGGAAGACATGGGTGAACCAACCATCAGCTTGGGCTTCATGCCTGGGACAGTCACACACTGTTCTGCTCAAGCATACTTTAACAGACAGACAGCTTGAACTCTTCCACCAGATAAAGGCAAAACAACCAGGCCAGAATGAACAACCCTGCTGCCTGTCGACAGCCTCCATCACTCCTTCTCTGTGACTCAAGAGTTTGCAGCTAATTAAGATGGAGGGGGTAAGCAGGCGGGTGTGTGGATGCACAGAAGGAAAGAAGAAACAAGTGGAGGAAAAACAAGGTGGGAAACCCTATCAGCATGCTGCACAAAGCATTTCTAAATGTTCTATTTTGTAGTGAGTATATCTGTGAGTTATATAACTCAAACTGTACCTGAACTTAGTTTAACAGCATAAATATTTCAGTACTTAAAAAAGAAGGCTTTAGTAAAAGTCACTGCCATTTCTTGGCCAACCCAACACTGAAGCTGAGAAGCACAAAGAAGCCACAAGCGAAACAATGCTCATCTTTTACCTCTCGGATCCGGGGATACCAGATGTGTTCTGTGTGTAACAGTTCTGTGGTTCCATTGGCAACTGAAACATCTTGAAAACAAAAACAAAAACAAAATTGTTCTTGGAGCGACATTCAGTATTTCACAGGACATTTTCATTTTACCCTTTAACAAGAATTTCCTCCCTGTTTTAAGAACATGTGTATAAATACCCATTTCTAAAATTCAAGTTGCAACACTCTAGTTACCATACTGAAAGTTACATCCCCAACACTAACTTAACCAAATGTCTCCATCCACAGAGAAATCCCCAGCTTGTCACTAGCTGACAGAAGTGCTGATGCATGTTACTCATACCGGCCTCACACACCAGGCAAAAAAAAAGCCAACCTTGGCAAGCAACTAATGGAAATGCCTCACTGAGGTTTTAAAAACCTAGATAAAACAAAGGGCCTTTTCCAGTTCCTACATCAAGTAAATGGTCACAAAGTAACTCCTAGGAGCAAGGAAGGAAATGAAGTCTGGAAAACTTTGCTCCTAGAAACTTGAAAATGTAGTATTTTGAAAAGTACAACAGGCTGGACGCCGATTTTCTCAAATCCCCTATCTTCTTCTGACCTTCCTGGGTTAATTAAGGATCTTTGCAATCGCTAACAGGGGTGCGGGGAATGAAAGTCATTTGCAGAAAACCAAAGTAGCCAGATCCTTAAAAGCAAAGATGTTACAGAGAAGGGATGCTGACGCAGCAGAGAGAATGATTACTGGTGGGTCGTAAAATCCACTGAAAGAAAGAGGCAGGAAAAAAATAGCACAAATATTTTTCTACTCCGTTCCCACATTGGCCAATTTCATCAGCACAGAGAAACGAGGTCATCTCTGGTCCTTACTTGCTCTAGGGCTAGGGATGAACAAGTGGATAGAGAGAGAGAGAGAGAAACAATCCACGGGTTGGCAAGTTCTAAGCTGCTTGTGGGCTTGTGTGTCCTGTGCCTAACTCCAGAAAGGATTTAATGCTGCCGAGAGCAACATGTCCAGGCCTCCCTTTTAGCACCTGCATTCAAGGACCCCAATGACATATGTGGAAATAACTGCAATTACCTGTGGTGTTACATTTCCATTTATCTAAAGACAGGATGGCTCGAGCAGGGGCCAAAAATGCAAAAGCACTGGCCTGAAACAGGGGTAACCTAAAAGAAACGAGACCAAAACCATGATCACGGCATCGGGAACTACCGAGGTAGTTCACTATTTGACAGCTTAACAGTCTTTTCCATAGATACAGAGCACATGAGTAAATGCAGGCACATCTGGAGAAAGAGCCCCTTCTGCAAAGACTTCCTGCACCGAGTAGCCACCCGCGGGCTTCTGGGCCTCCTCCCCTGCTCCTCTCCTTGTAGGCCACTCCAAGGTGGGCCCCGGGAAGCCCTGTGGTCAGTGCCGGCACCCCAATACCAGCCCCTGCCACCACCATCTTTCCTTTTTGGGTGGCTCCCATCTTTCCTGTGGAGCTTGCAAGCTCCTTAGTAACCATCAGCATGTGTTACCTACTTTACCACCCTCCTCCTTTTCCCTTTCCAAACTCTTACTGGTTATCATGGGGGGGGGGGGGGGGAACTGCTCCACTTCTGTTGTCCCATTTTGTAAGTAAAAGTCTGCCCTCATCATAGAGGGAAAACATTAAAACCACATTAGTGATCTAAGACTACCGAACTAAAGGAAAGCTGGAAGTTACAAAGCGGCAGTAGATATAACAAATATTTCCCTTGATTATAAAAAAACCTCAAAGGTGCTATAACACTTTTATTAAAGGGCCCAGAAAGCTTGCAGATGTTCTGCTACATTTCCTGCCTACATCCTCAGACTAAACACAGATTCTCAAATGTCACCGTTCAATTCCAGTTTAAATATCACATACTGACTTGATGAACACTTTACTCAAATTCTAAAGGCTTTGCCATTATTTATTGGAAATGTACAGCATTTCAGCTATAGTTGAGCTAAGGGGGCTTTATAGGCTAACATGTGAATCCAAGCACTATTTTAAATGTTATTTTTCAGGTATAACATAAAACTGCCTCCTTCTGTTTGGAGGGCTACAAGCTCCCAGATGTCTAAACACCCCAAGTAGCCTTGTCAGCATCCTGGCCAGCAGGACGGGAACCCAGCACCCTTCCCTCTGAGCTCTTGGGTACCAAGTCCTGCCTGCAGTAAAATAGGAACTGGATGGAAGGAGAACCCAGCCATTCCTCAGGTCTAGTGCCCAACATGTGTCATTGTGAGCCCAACGTGGTTTGGATACCTTTGCTACAAATGCTCTCCCCGCCACTCTAATCATGCAGTGAAATCAATCAGAAGTGGACAGGATGCTGGCTCTCAAGACACAGAGGCAGGCCACACAGTGCAAACCAGATGCATTGCTGACAAGGGCAGGGCCTCTACAAACTGTCCACTTACAATTAGTTACCAGAGGGGTGCAGAGCATGGTGCCATCATAAGCAACACTGGAGGTCACCTGAAGTGGGAATGTACAAAGGGAAAACACTGTTTGACTGCCAGCAATTCCTTCAATGCAATTTTCGTGAATGTACCGGAAGTGGGGAGGGAGGTCAGCATACATGTAGGAAGGGCAGCCAGCTCAATGATTCAAATACATCTGTGTCACTATAGTTTCAGATTGCAAGCAATGCATCCTAGATCAGTGTAAGGTGATCCTGTTTGTATCTTAGAGATCTTTTCCTTAGGAACAGCTCTGCATTGATGACTCACTGGATGTGGAAAAAGTAAAGACGGCTCTGGGTTCCACGCCTGACAACATGACCTGTTCTTGACCTGAATGTTCCCTAGCTGTTTTCGCAGTTAGTTATTTTATGGCTCAACTATGACAAGAGGCACCAAGTGAGCTGCTACTCAGAAGCCCACTCACTTCACGACACTGGAGCCCTGGGTTCCCTGAAAGTGGGTGGTAATAGAAGATCCTCATGTGTCCTGTCCCCGTCAACTCCTCTAAGGTGATCTGGGAGAGCTGCACATGCTGGCATGGTGTGCTCATGCTCCGTCTCACATAACCACCGGCCACAACCTCAAATTCTCCAGCAGTAAGTGTGGCCTCTAACTGGCAGCATCGATCAGCTGATTGACTCAAAGATTCCTAGGGTAAGTTGCGACAAGAGTGGAGACCACTGTGAGTGGGATCTTCCCCACAACAGAATCAGAGAAGCCAATTTTCCTAAGGAAAAAAGAGAGCATAGTAAAGCACTTGAGAGCTCTATCTGATAATGTGGCTTTTTCCAGTACTACCTAGTGTGAAGCTGGTCAACCCTATGGCTCTTTCCTCTGTTCCCACAGCATAATGCCCACCTCAGTGCTTCACAAGTCTTCACCACTCACTCACCAAAGTAGTCATCTCAGAGTAGACAAAACTACCTGGTCTTTTATTTATGTATTTATTCTACTAACATCTGTAAAGGAAACAAATTAAACTATGCCTTCCTTTATACCAGGAGCTGGCAAACTGGCCCATGGGGCCAAATCTGGCATGTTGCCTATTTTTATAAATAAAGTTTTATTGGAACACAGCACACTTGTTTATTTACATTTTGTCTGTGGCTGTTTTTATACTACCTCAGCAGAAGTGAGTAGTCCTGACAAACATTTTATGGCTTGTAAAGCCTAGAATATTTACTATTTGACCTTTACAGAGAACGTTTGCTGATCCCCACAGGAAAAACATATTTTAAAAATCTGTGAGGAGGGGGTGGATACTTGCAGATGGCAATTTTTCAAAAAGTGAATTGTGTAATTAGATAGTAATAAAATAAGTCTGAGCAGATAGGCAACTTTGCCATGACACAATTATATACCAGGCTCTAGTCACAGGATGGCAAGAGAACCTGATCAGCCCAAACCAAGTCCTTACTTGGCTCAAAACCGTCTCGGAGGCCCCCATTTCCTCCTGGGTACCTGGGTGACCTGAACCCCACCCCCGCCTCCTTTCTCACCAGCCCCTTCACATACCCTGCACTCCAACCAAGCTCTCCTGGTTCTTGCCTCTGAGCGTGTGCTTATCTCTTCTGTCTCAATACCTTTCTAATGTCTAACTTTTATTCATCATCCAAGGCACAGAGAAAGTATCACCCCTTCTCAAAAGTTTTTCAGGATCACCTTCTCCTGAATCTGTAATGCACTCCCCTACAACTTAGGGCTTTCTAGTTATGATTTCTGCAAGCCAACCCCCAACTTGCTCAGAAGTTGCATCAACATTCCCTGGGGTGCTGGTTACAAATAAAGATTTCTGCATGTCACCTGGGCTTAGTTCACCAGAATCTGGAGTAGTCTCCCCAAATCTGCATTATGAGCAATCACTTCTGGGTGAGGGTGATGCACCCCAAAGATGATAACCCCAGTGCTGGTGAAATGAGTCATCAATCTGAGCACTTGATAAATATTTCTTGGTCATCTGCTTGTCACAGGCATGTTTTAAGTAGGTACAAAGATGGAAACAATCACCCTGAGTCCTTGAGGGCTTTCTGTTGTGTGAAGGAGACACTAACCTGGCCACATATGAAGTGCAATGACATAGAGAGTGTCAAGACACTGTGGGACTCTGTAGGAACTGCCACTTAAACTAGTCTTAGTGAGTGAGAAGTATTCCACTGTGTATGCTTGTGGTACACATACTCTCAGCAGAGAGAACAGGAGCAAAATGAGAGGCACGGGACATACCAAGAAATGCTGGGAGAACAACAGATCCCTTAGCGTGGAGGACGCATAGGGCATCTGCAGAAGTTGAGCAGGGACCAGATGCCAACTGCCCTGCATTCTTCCTTAAGCAAGAGGACAACTACTAGGGATTTTGCTTTGAAAGGACCACTTTGGGAGAACTGGGAGAGGTAACCTTGACCCCAAAACTATTGTCAGTCTTAAAAGAACCAAACCGTAAAAGATATGTTGCAGGCTGTCACATGGCTCAGTTTGTAGTCTTTACTTCACTGACTCCCGCTCACCCTTTGGGAACAGCACAGATGGCCTGCAGCCTAGGTCAGGTTCCTCTGTAGCACCGAGTCATGTGCAAATGACAGCTTACTGTTGGGTGATCAGCTCCTCTGACCCGAGGTAGGAATCTCCCTGACAGCAAGAACCAGGTCCCCAGCACCAACATTATATATTGATGTGCTCAATAAATAATGGATTGAAGGTGCCGTGTATACACGGCATTCTGTGGATGGAGTTTACTTTACACTAGAAATAAGAAGCTAATAAGTCTTTCTGATAACTCAATGTTAATTACAAATTTGGGAGATGACATATTTTAGGTTCACAGCACTGAAGCAGAGAAAGAGTAAACTGTGCATGCATTTACAGGATAGAACAGATACTCCCCCAGACCCATGGCAGCCATCAGGAGGAAGGTCTTAAAAAGTTTAAAAGGGGCAGGGTCCTATAGTAGCACCACGAAAGGTGCAAACTGTATCTGCCCAGAATAAACCAAAACCAAATCAACACAGAAAGTGTACGCTGCCTGACTTCCTCAAACTAGTAAGAATGCAATCACAGTTGGTATGAAACCTTTCACTCCCAAACAAACAATAATCTCCAAGAAATCTAAAGCAGCTTTGTCTTTGAGAAGCTCTGATGTCAAGATTGAATTGTCATCAGAAATGTGTGTTCTAAGTGCCCGTTTGTGTGTGTGTGAGAGAGAGAGGGAGAGAGAGAAAGAGAGAGAGATTTTGGGGAAAGTATACAGAGAAAGGGAGCTCTGGTAGCGTAACACCTAAGGTACTTGACTGCTAACCAGAAGGCTGGTGGTTCATACCCACCAGCCACTCCTCGGAAGGAAGATGGGGCAATCTACTTCCATAGTGATACTGCCTCAGAAACCCAAGGAGGGGTCGCTATGAGTCGGGTCCGACTCGACGGCACATAACAACAACAACAACAATACAGAGAAAATTCATATTCCATACAGTAGTTCATACCTATTTTGTTTCATGATATTGACTGCCTTTCCCACAATGTAACTGCTTTCTTCCCACTTCCTCCCTGTAGTTACCTCTTCCTATGTCCTTTCTCCCTATGCATTCTTGCTCCCTGAGCTATCTCCCTGTGCAAATACTGCCTTTCTGTTCTCCCATGATTGATCACTCTAAGGAGTATATCTACGTAATGTAAATGTTCACCTTATGTGACT